AACTTGAAATAACCCTCAATGAATTGTGAGCCAAGAGTGTGTGGTTCCCTCAGTACAGTAAGAAGCTGGCTCTGGATCCCCCTCTGCCCATCAGAGCCCCTGTGGCCAGACCTCTCTGTCTCCCCACTCCCATTTGGCCCCCAGGCAGTCAGCATTCCCAGGTTGCTTTGCCATTTCTCAGACGTTCTGATCGGACCTCCCAGGCTCATTTCCCGATCTAAACCTAATCAACATTTCCATTAATTGATTCGCTGGCCCCCAGCAGGGTTTTGCCGCGGTCACCTCCCAGCTGTCTCAAAACATGATGTGCAACCGTTTAGAAGCGCCTGCAGTGAAGCATTTGCTGTGTGTTTGCTTTGCAGCACCTTGGTGGCTGCAATCCAGTCTGCAGGGCTGACAGAGAACCTCAACAGGCCGGGGACCTTCACGGTGTTCGCTCCGACCAACGAGGCTTTCCGAGCGCTGCCCCAGGGCGAGCTCAACAAACTCATGGGTGAGCATTTCCAGGGGGTTCAGCTGAACTGCTGCTCCTGCCAAGCTGTGGGGGCAGGAAGGGCCAAATTTCTCTGCTGTGTCTCATTCTTTGATCCTGTCTGCTGGAAGGGCGACCTTCCCACACAGCTGATTTGGATAAGCAAAAAACTGGGGATGCACAGAGTGACAGTGAGCTCCCAAATTTGGGATTTGTACTGCCTGTGTTCTTGGAAGATGTGTTTGTAGTTTGTGCCACAAGCTCACTCTGACTTTCATTTGGCTGTGCTGGTGGTGCAAGCAAGATAACCCCCAGGTGTTTCTAAAGGAACCAGCGAGGTCTCTGCCTTTCTCAAGGATGAGAGAAGTGAGGATTCCTTCCCAACCACACAGGAGAGGGGTGTCTGGAGTAAATTTAGCAAAGAGAAGACAATGATCCACACACAGCCTCAAGTTACACTGTGTGGCATTTAAGTAGCAAAAGGCTGGGCCTGTTTCTCCTTCTATTTATGCACAGACAAAGCAGGAGGTCTAGTTTGATACTGGGAAGACTTCAGATATTCCAGCCTAGCTCAGATTAAGGCCAGTCTCCTGGAAAGCACACACTGGGTGTGGAAAATAGCATGGGAATGTTTAATAAGGCCCTCCTGGATAAGCAGCACGATCCTTTATTTTGTTCATGTTCAAAACTGGCTGTGGTTGGAAACAACGTCAGGTATTTGAGAGTAATGTCTTCTGGTCATTAAAGCCAACCAAACATTGACATCATAATTTGGGAAGCTTCTGCCCATGGGAGCTGGTTATCCTTTTAAGTGCAGGGATGAGGAACCCGTAATATCAGACTGCACATCCAGTCTAGCACTTCGTACATAAATATTTCAGAACTGTTTTGCAGCTATTGTAAATGGCTGCAGGAATGAGGATTCCCAGATGTGGACACTTCAGATGTTCTTTTCTCATGCAAATATTTAGGTTATGCCTCTGACAAAGAGGTGAATCACGCTGGGGAGGACGTGCAGTGTCAACTGCGGCCACCCTGAAAACCATCCTGGAAAAAAGCTGAAATGCAAGCTTTGGAAGCACTGAAAGAAAAGGGAGCTGAGGGAGCTGCTCTGGTTTTGTAGATGGAGCCACCTTTTGCACTAGCTGTCCTGTTAGGGACTCTGAATCCTCCAAAGGAGAAGCTGGAGAAGAGCTGCTGGCCCAGGCGATGTTCTTCTTCTGGAAAATAAATGGCGAAGAGGAAGCATCTTGTCTTCCCCAAATCTGCTTGGAAGCTTGACTAGATGAGTAGAGACTCAGTGGAGTGGAGATCAGGGCATCAATCCATGAGCCATCAGTGACATTTCTCCTGCACTTTTCCCCTTCCTACCCAGCTGTGAGAATTATTGTCGAGTGACAGCGGCCTTGGTGACATTTGCAAATACCAGAGTGCTCCATCTGCTTCCTTATTTCACACGGGTGGGTCTTTGCCCTGCCATCCCAGACTTCCTGAGGAGCAGGTTCACGCTGTGCACAGTGAGAGAATGAGGGATGGAAACCCAAGAAACAGGGATTTCACGTGCAGGGCAGGTTTGGTAGGTTCCAAGGTGGGACACTGGGAGAGCATCCATTTGGGTTTGCTGGGATCCTGACCTGCCCAGGCAGGAATGCCCTCAATGTCCTAAGCAGCTCTAACCTGGTTACTGTTCTGGTTTTGGGGTTTTTTTTTTGGGGGGTGCGGTGTGATGTGGTTTGCTTGTTTATTTGATCAATTTTGCATCGTTCCTTTGCACATTTAGGAAATGATGGTGTTTTCCACATCATTCCATTCCAGCCCATAAAATATGGGAAGTGAGTGCTGATGCTCTTTTGCAAACGCAGATGTTTTTCTCCCCTATCCCCCACCAGGTAATGCCAAGGAACTTGCCAACATCCTCAAGTTCCACGTGGCCGACGAGATCCTGGTGAGCGGCGCCGTCAGTGCCCTCGTGAGGCTCAAATCCATGCAGGGAGATAAACTGGAAGTCAGCATGGTGAGTGCCCTGGGATGGGGTTCTGTGCTCAGCAGGGCCAGGAGTGTGTATGGATGGTGTGGAAGCCTCCCCCAAATGCGCTCACAGTCCCACCAAACAGAGTTTTCCAGGCTGTAGCAGAGGGACTGCTGCCATGTGTTCAATTCAACAAGAATGAAATGTGGTTTGCTTCAGCTTTCCCCACCCCCTCCCCACAGAAGGCCAATTGTAAATGATTTCCAGGAGCTGTTATAAATGTAACCCTGAGTCACGGGGGAAAAAGCATAAATAAATGAAATGAATAGCTTGTTCAGCTAACACATCTCTTTTTGTGCAACGAAAATGATCTCTGCATGGGCTCCCTGAACGCAGCAGGATTTATTTAGATATATAATTTCATTTCACAAACTCTGCACTGCATTAAGAGAACGCAGGGGGAAAAAAAACAACTTTTCAGGAAAAAAAAAAACCATGCACAAGAAAATACAGGACAAAAAAATGGAAGGGAGAGTGTTTCCAAGTGCATTGAGTCAGCCAAAGTGAACGACAGAGTCTTTCCCTGTCCAGTCCTGCTCTGCCCTCTCCTGATCCCATCTCCCTTGGCACGAGTGGCAGTGCCTGCTGCCACCAGGTGTCCGGTGGATGTGCTCTGCTGCCACGGGACAGCATTCCCAGCCAGAGCACCGAGAAAGCCTTAAAGCCTTTGCCAGCCATTCCAGGGCCAACAGCTCGGGCTGTAATTTGTTTTTATATCCTCCTTAATTGGCAAGAGGAACGAAAACGCCTTCAGCTATCCAGCAAATGAACGAATGCAAAGTGAGGGGCTTTTTTAACGACGTTTTGGAAATGACAAAAGTTTCTAATTTTCTTTTTTTTTTTTTTTTCCCCCTCTCCCTGAACAGAAGA